GGAGGCCGCCTTGGCCGGTGCCCGGTGGCGCCCGGAGCCTGTTCCGGCGTTACCGGCGTGTCTCGGCGGAGGGTCAGGCCGCAGCCTGAGTGAAGAGGAGCAGTCAAGCCGTGTCTGAACTGAGTGAGAGGTCTGGTTTAGTGTCTGTTCGCAAGGGATTAGAGTAAACATCTAGAAGGTTTATGTGCTTCTTAAGTAGCTGCCTGATTGTTAAAACAGTCATTTTTATAGCTGAAGCCTTTAAAAGTTAATAGAAAAACGTACAAGAAATTTTAAGGTCTATAATGCTCTAAATTCTTAATGTATTACTTTTTAAAATGCTTTTTTTCCAGTGACCATGTCTGTGACAGGAGACAAAGATTCTAAGCGTTGCCTTTTAAATATTGAGTTCATAACTGTGTCAGATGCTTGTTAATCTGTGAAGAATGCTCTTAAAAGTTGCGAAAACTGTCATCTGAAATGTAAACACAGGAGGATCCTTTTATTTGTACAAAGAAATAATTGTTCTGTTTTTATTGAGATACTTGTGGGTTTTTTATTGTTTGGTTGGTTTTTTTGGTTTTGTTTTTTTTTTAGGAATTCCGTAGTAAGGCAACATATTGCCTGCTTTTAGGGAGCTGAATTATAATACAAGCTTAGTGTTTGGCAAATATTAATGCCTTTTCCCCTCCCCAATAGATTTATTTCAAAAATAGAGGAAGTATTGAATGACTGGAAGCTTATTGGGATTTCTTCAGGCAAACCTCTAGAAAAGGTCAGTTGCTGCTTCTGAATTTTCTTTTAGAATTTTAATTACTAGCTAGTAATACACATGTATGTTTTATATACTTAAGCGTAGTAGATAATGATTTGTATTGGGAGACTTTGTAAGAGATGCAGTTTGACAAACAGTTGTAAATTTATTGATGGGCCATCTGCCAAACAGGCTGTTTCCTGGGTAGAGTTGGATCTTCATATAGGGCCTAGTGATTATTTTTTTTATTCCAAGTTTGGAAACATGGTTGAATCTGTTCAAAATTTTTAAGGAGTTTCTTTTTGCCCTGTCTTGTGCCTTTGTCACGCCTCACATACTTATGGTTGAGGTTTGCATAGTACTATTTGTGACTTAATATGTTTCATAGATCGGAGAGATTTTTTTCAAAGTCTAATTAGAGCCTTTGTGGTGCTTTATCAGTCCTGTAAAATGCAGAGGAAATTATGAGCTCTTCTGCATACTAGTGCAAATAAATGAATCTGTTCTGGATTGAATGCTTGCTGTGTTTCCAGAGGAATTTTATTATTCTTAAATTTAGTCAGGGTACAGATTATTCAGAACAAAAACTTACGTTATCTGATTAACTAGTTTTAAACCTTAGCTGCCAGTGTATTCCTACACGTCTTCTTTGTAGACCAGACCTCTCTTCTTGATTTCTAGTGAGCAGACACCCTTTACAGATCAAAGGGTTGTCTGAGTGGCTCTTTAGTAGCATACAACTCTGTACAGTTATGTTGATTTTTTTCCTAGAAATTTCTATGCTGTTTTTTTTGTTTAAAAATTAATTATCCTTAGACAGAAGTTTTGCAAACTATAGACACAAAATCATTTATCAGTGAAAGCATATGCAAAGTAAACATTAAAGTAGTATTTGTGTAGAAAGGTATAGGTGTGTATATATATATAAAATACCAGGTGGAAAACTTTGCCCTATCTTTGGGCAAAGTTGAGGGTGTGTATGCTTAAGATACATAGTTGCATATGAGGGGATATATCTGCATCTTTATTGCCATATAATTCTGAAGACTTCCCAAGAATATCTGGTTCTTGAAATGAACATGGTTATCGGCAACATGGATTTCAGCATTCAGCTACCTTTATAATTAAGTGCTTTGAGAATTATCTTTTTTAAAATTAAACTGGGCTTAGCTATTTAAGAATAAATACTTAGCAGTAGAAAAAGATGAATAAATATTATAGATCATTTAGGCAGTACACTTTTTAAGGCTTATGAACGTTAACCTAAATTTATATGATCAAATAATTTCTTTTTTTTATATGCAGGGTGTATACACCACAGGAGCATGGGAAGAGAAATCGGATGAAATTTCATTTGCAGACTTCAAATTCTCAATTACCCATCATTATCTTGTACAAGAACCCAGTGACAAAGATGGGAAAGAAGAACTGGTAGAAGGTAGCTGATAGTTCCCTTACATGCCTGTAAGGATATGTCAAAAGACAATTTCAGAATGTGGGATTCATAGTGCGTTGATTTATTTCTGTATGAAATTTTCTGAGATTTGATGGGTGTGATCTGATATTTCTGCTTTTAGTATGGTTTGCATTCAACAAATTGCTAATATAAGTAAATTGTAAGTCAGCTGAATGGATGCCAAAGCTCTTGTCTATCAATTTTTTTTCACAGATGCCCTTCCTCTGCCTATGCAGGACTTGCTGTGCATGAACAATGACTTTCCTCCTAGAGCTCACTGTCTGGTGAGATGGTATGTATGCTGCCTTTTGTCTTTAATACAAATAAGCATTGCAGTTGAAAAGTCTTTGATGCTGTTATGATCACTTGTATATATTTTTTTCTTCCCATTTTAAAGTTTCCTGTTTTAAAGTTAAAGCTTGAATAAAATGCTTCTTTGTACTGGACACAGGAAAGGAGTGGAAAAAAAAAAACCCACCGTAGTGGGCTTATCTGTACTTTTTTTTTTTCCCCCAAAAAGTATTTCTTTTCTGAATTTCATGGACTAACCAAGCTTTTATATTTGTAATATTTAGATGCATTCTTAAAAAGGGAAGCTGCAACACCTTAAGAAAAAACAGCAATCATATCCTTAGTAATGTAAATCTTTAGCATGTTATAGCATTGCTCTAGAGAAATTGTTTTTATAGTTATAATTGTTATTAACGTAAAATAATCAGGACTGGCAGACCTGGAAGTTCTCACATTATTTTGAGTGCGGTGTTTGAATGTTGCTAAGCTTTGATAGTTTGTGATTTGAGAATCTGCAGCACTCCATGCCCACTCAGTTCTTGACCTCTCTGAAAGAGGTACTCGCATCAAAATAACAGATTTCAGAGTCTGTTGGTGACAGGTTATTCACGTTACAATATTTCTAAAAATTTTTGTTTCAGCTGACTTGCTAAAAACCAAAAATGTGTTCTTTTTGCCTCTCTCTCTTCAGGTATGGCTTACGTGAGTTTGTGGTTATTGCTCCAGCTGCAAATAATGATGCAGTTCTTAGTGAATCTAAATGTAACCTTTTGCTGAGTTCCATTTCCATTGCACTGGGGAACACTGGCTGGTAGGTGAAAGCACAAACCTTTTTACGTGCCCAGGTAAAACTCGAGCATACTGCTATTGTGAAGAAAAAGGAATAAATTGTTAGCAAAATACATTCAGAGTTTGTTGTATTTGCACCATAATATCGTTACAGAAGCATTTAAAAAAAAAACAAACCCAAATTGTTTCCCATGGAAACTTTAAAAAGATTGATTCAATGTATTGTTTATATTAATCATTGTTTAAAAACATTAGAGGCTTTCAGAAGCTGCTAGAAGTTGTTGGAATAACGGTATACAAAACATAACTTTTGGAAGAGGATGTCTTCCCTATGTGGTAACAGCAAGTTTCTAATCTTCCTCAAATATTTAAATTCAAGATTAGGTGACTGAAGTCATGGATAGACTGATTCTTATGACATGACAGTTTGTTAGGCATTCTATTTAATGTTGAAGTTAACACTATTTTTTTGATTCCTTATTAAGCATTTTAAACTGTGTTCCACTAAGAGAAAATTTATTCTGAAGAATATGAAAGTATGTTGAAATTATGTTAAAATATTTAGCTAGTTTTAAAGACTATAAGACTGTATGACAATTTAAATAATCTGAAGTATTCATATTTTATAGTCAGGTACCACTGTTTGTGCAAATACATCATAAATGGAGACGAATGTATGTTGGAGAATATCAGGGTCCAGGAGTTCGAACTGACTTCGAAATGGTTCATCTTCGCAAAGTGCCAAATCAGTATACTCATTTATCAGGATTACTGGATATCTTCAAATCCAAGATTGTAAGTGTGTCTGAATGTATATAACATTAAAAATAATTATTATCTGGTTGCTTGCAGATTTACTTCTGTCTTCTAGGGTTGGTTTGGTTTTTTGGGCCTTTCTGTAAGGATGAGGCTTACACTGCTGATACCAACAAAGCCTTTTTCCAGGTATTGCCAGTATCTAGCACTAAAGAGTGAAAATTGGTGTGGGTTTTGTTCCTTAGTGTCACCACCTTCTTCCATTTTTATTTTGGCTTGTGAAAGAATGTGTCTGTTTTATAGTCTCTTTATAACAACCTTCTCTTCCCCCTCCCCAAAACAAGTTCTATTTTGCTATTAAAAAGGAGAAGGCAGAGTTGGGGTGGTTTTTATTCTGATACTTTGTAGCTAGGCTAAGAGCAGAGAACAACATGAGGAAATGTGGGGAGTCTGAGTGAACTGCTTGTTTATGGAGCTGTATGGCTGACTGCAACACTTGACAACTAATCCTGGTAGTTGGCAATCTCATCAAAACACTGAGGAGAAAAATCCTTAATGAAAACCTAACACGTTCTGGGTCAGGGTTATTTCTCAATTACCAGTTAAATGGAGCATACGAATATCTCATGCATTTTAGAAAGCTTATGTGCTTACTTTTACCTGCTTGTTGAGCAGTGGCTTTACTAGTAATACATGGGATGTTGCAGTTCTGGTTAAAATAATACAAGGTATCATAACTAATTTATGTTTGAGGCCTGAGGTGTTTGAGAGGATGTACTTCTTATGTTGAATTTTTTCCCTAATATTTTCAAGGGATGCCCTTTAACACCACTGCCTCCGGTTAGCATGGCTATTCGGCTTACGTATGTTCTTCAAGACTGGCAGCAGTATTTCTGGCCACAGCAGCCACCAGGTGGGAGATTTGTGTCCTCAGAATAACTTGTTTTAAGATAAACAGTCAACAATAAATAAAATGTTTGTGTATTTTGCCAAAAGAATGAAAACATTTTCTGCATTACCAGGAAAGGCTTCAGTTACAACTGAGTGCCATCCCACTCCCTATGATAGCTTAACAAGCTTAAAGCTGCTCTGAAATCATGTGTGTGGTTTACGGTTGTGGCAGGTGTTTTGATTAGGGCCATGCTTAGAAATAAGCTTTTTTTTTAATTAGTGTTTAAAGATACTGTGATACTTCTAAAATGGTAGTATTTATCTGGGGGGAAAAGGCTGACTGAGTCTGCATCTGTAAGGAATTCTGCTCTTAATTCCTTAGGGAAGCATTTGGATTCGGGTTCTAGTAGGTGCTAATACTTCACAGGGGTATTTGTCAATTATTTCCATAAAGCAACTGATTTTAATACTTCATTATCTAAATGTATTAACAATGAAAGTATTAACAAGAAAGCATTATATAGACCTCACTTGAGGTAAAGTTTGGATTTCTGTTGTTGATTTATACTCTGTTTATACAGAGCTAAATGAGCCAAGCAGTTGACTGAATTATTTTTTTCAAGCAGGAAAAATTTCTGATCAAGCCTTTTATGAGGGGCGAAAAGGGGAAAAGTAATGTCTAGTCTTGAATTTAAAGTATATACACCAGACTTGATAAGTGTATGCCATAGTGATGCTACTTAGGAAGAACAGAATGAGCTTGCTCACTTGGTACTCTCACAATGAACTCATATGCTTGCTTGGTGGTATCACTTTCAAGGTCTCAAGAATTTGTTTTTAACAGACTTGTTTCTATATAGGTAGTATCAGAAAATAAATGATAAACTTCTCCTGGCTCAAAAATAAATAAGTCTATAGGATAAAGTGGAGATGTTAGTTCCTCTTAACATACATTTTATCAGTAATGTGGTAGTTTAGGTACAAGGTGGTGGAGAATTAAAATGCCCAAGTTCTATTCTTAATTTGGTAGTATTTTTACATAATGAGGCTAAAGTATTTAGGGCTTAGAGAGACAGAACCTGTGTGACCTTGGTCTGGTTACCTAATTGTTTTGCTTTGCCTTAAAAAAAAAACCCAACAAAAAAAACCCAAAAAAACAAACCACAAAACCCTCACACTAATCAACAGTGTGTTTGGAAGAAGTCTGTAGTGAAGTTGATCCTGTGTGCTTTGTACCTAAGGAATGTTGAAAATGAATCCTGCTTTTTAGGGTCAGAGAAAATCAGTGCTGTTTTAAGTGATAGCTTCTCTTTGTAAGTAAACCAAGTTTACCTTAAGAACTTGGGAAGCTATTTCTACAGATGTTACTTTTTATTATATCTGCAGACACAGAAGTTAGTATTTTCTGTAGTCTCTCTGCCTTGCCATAGTTATGGCTAAGTCAGGTTCCCCGGTTTCTGATGAATGAGTGGTACCACTCTGACCATATGTCTTGATTTGAGCAATTTGAATAAATTCTTTTCAAGAGTTCTGGTTCAGGGAGCTAGTGGCATAGTGTATTGCAGAAACTGGAGATGGTCAACATCTTTTTCACTGCTGTTGCTACATGCAGTTGTGGTTTTATGTTCATTGGGAAAAACTAGATGTGTACTTTATTACCCTCACTCAATTAGCTCTTCCCAAATAAACAGAGAATTTAAGTGTCTTCTTTGTGGAAGAAATTATGTAATTAAGTTATCCAAATACTTTATCTGTTCTAATACCTCATTTGTTTTGTATGTAAACAGTTTACCAGATGTTTTTAAAATTAATGATCAGATGCTGTAGTAGCATTATTATAGTGGCATTACATTATTACATAATTACCCATTTACGTTTTTGTTTAGTGAGGGCTGCCTGGTTTGGGTTTATATATTTGAAGGATATAACATGGGAAGTGGCTGAGGATGCTGGGAGGCCTCTTTAAGCATTACCTGGGATTACAAGGAATATCCCAGATCATTGTGTTAAATATTTAACTGTAGGAGACATAGCACTCTTTTAATAAAGTTGCCAACCTTCTAGAAGTAGTTGTGTTTTCACTCTGCAAGAGTTCCTCTTCTTCCTTTTCTACTTGCAACTGATTTCCTGTCTAAAGATTTTTATGGCAAATTTGTGTCTGTCTATTCTTGTGTCAACATGTGACTCTTTAAGGCTGCCTTTATAGCTATCACTTTGCCTGTGTGAAGCCTTTCCTCAACATGTATTACAAGAATTTTGAATGTCCTGTTGCATGATTACTTCCCAGTTTCTGCTGGAAACAATGACTTTGACTTCATGCTAGGACTCTGTTTTCATAGCTCTGTCACCTTAGCTGCTTAGCTATTCTCTGGTCATCCTACATGCTGCAGTCTTTTTACTGTGAAATTAAGATGATATGCTTCTTAAAATATTTCATAAATTCTGTATGGAAAATGTATTGATCTGTCTTCAGATATAGATGCTCTAGTTGGGGGAGAAGTTGGAGGCCTTGAGTTTGGGAAGCTACCATTTGGTGCCTGTGAGGATCCTATTAGGTAAGATAAGAGTGTAAAAACCTGTGTCTTATAACTTCCTTAATGGAGGATTTAAAGCTATGTTGTTTCAAATCTTAGCTTTGCCTGCCTAGCACTTAGTATGTCCCTAACAGATACCTAATGACTCAAGTACATAAGAAACATCTATAAAAATTTTTAAATTATATTCAGAGTTCTAGCTCATCATTCTTTCACCATAAACTTCTGGAGTATTCCATTTATTTCTGAAACTATTATGTTGAAATATACCTTAAGTAAAGATAAACTTTAAAAATGGTGTGTCTTCATTCAGGGGTTGGACTGGCTCTCATCTATTAATTTGACACTTGGAGAAGACTTAAATTGAGAGGGTCTGTAAAGCGAGTTGTTATGATCTCCCTATGTCTTCTTCTGAACACCCCATCACCACTTAGCAAATCTAGAAATCATTTTAATGTACTAGACGTTTAATGCTGTACACAGTTGGTGGAAGTTGTTCTTTCCTCTGTGCCTGGATACCTGGAATACAATGCACAATCTCTCCTTTTGTAGAGAGGAGTTGTGAGAGAGTCCTGTATGTCAGAAGAATTTAGTGCAATACTGGATGACATGCTGTTGAATTTCAATAGAATGTACTTGGTGAGAAAACTCATTGGAAAACATGCACATTTCTGAATGTAGCTGCAAAATACAGAGAGGGACTTAAATATAAACTATCACTAATACTTTTTATGATCTTAACTATGATGGAGAGAACACTTTCTGCTAACACTGAAAGATTTAAATCTTATTTTATTTCAGTGAGCTTCACTTAGCTACCACGTGGCCTCACCTAACGGAAGGTATAATTGTGGACAATGATGTTTATTCGTAAGTATTTTGTCTGAATTGCAAATACCTAGAAGTGTACTTCATTTGTTAACTACTGCATTATAGTGACATCTAGAACGTTTCATTTGGGAAAACACCTTTTGAAATGCATTTCTGTGTGAAAAAATATTACTGTAATTTCAACAGACCACACACCTCTATTTTTTGGGCATATTCCCATGCTAGGCTTAAGTCTTTTGTATTGCATTTTTTGGGGGAAAGATGATAATGGAATGTGGAAAGCAAAAAGAATTAACTGAGTGACATTCCTTTCCCAAAAACTGTCATCTAGGTTTTATGCTAAGCCTCCTAAAGAGGAAAAACAGGGTATACTGATACTTAAGAAAGAAGAAAAAAAAGTGGTTTATTGTTTTAATTAATGCAGAAATGAATTTTCAACATTAATATACTTTTAAGGAAGACAGTTTGTGTTGTGACTGAGCTGTTCTCATGTGTTTCTTATGTTATGCATGTATATGAGAACAAGGATCTTGCTTTCGTTTTAATGTTTGTCATGTTCTCTTGTGTAATGTGGCATGTATTATGGCTTCCATGGCCTCACTGGCTATGAAATTCCATTTACTGGGAATTTGATATTAATTTCTTGTGTACTTATGGTGGCAGCATGACACTTGGGATTGTTTTTGTTTTGAAGTGACCTGGATCCTATTCAAGCACCCCAGTGGTCTGTGAGAGTCAGAAAAGCAGATAACCCTCAGTGTCTCTTGGGTAAGACATCATAATTCCCTGTCTCCTCTTGTGGCTTTTAAGTTGTAGAGTTAAGGATTGAATTGGTGGTTACCTGGTGACTTCTATTACCTCCTTCCCCTTTATTTTTTGAGTGGGCAATATTTTGGGCTGCTTCTTCAAGAAAACAAACTTTGCAGAAATGTAGGTTTCTATTGTAGTTATTCTGTGTACCATGAACCATGCTGTTCTTACTTCATTGGGTTCCAGAGAAAGCATTTACTGTATGTGTGTTCTGTGAAAATTTAGATTTCCTAGAATCTTTACATTTTATTAAGTGCATTCTGCATATATCCATTTCCTTAGCTGAATCAATCTGTCTGACAGGCAGGATTGATATGCCTGGAGAGCTGTTGTCCATCCTCACCTTTCAGTTTGTGGGGAAAAGGGCTTCAAAACAAACAAACAAAAAATAACATGTTGCAGAAGTTTCATCTTGCTTTGGGTGAAGAAGGGGATTAACTTGCATGTAGAACTGCTCTGGAGAGGTGTCTGGGTGTGCATTTTCCTAAGCTTTAGTTGTGTGGTTTGAAGATATTTGTGCTTCAGAACAAATGATTATGTTCTTTGAGATGAAAAGATAAAATTTGCTGTCCCTTAGGAATCACTTTGAGGGTTAGCTTATTGTTCAGTTAGATTTTGAGTAGTTCAGAAGTTTTGTTTCTCCTATAGGTGACTTTCTTACTGAATTCTTCAAGCTTTGCCGTCGGAAGGAATCAACTGATGAGATACTTGGAAGGTCTGCATTTGAAGAGGAAGGAAAAGGTAAAACTAAAATCTCGATGATTTGTGTTATTTGACTTTAATTGGTAGGAATTTTCTGTAATACTCCTAGGAATTTTCTGGTCATTGCTACATGCTATAATAGCTTAAAAAATGTGTTAGATGAGTAGTGTATGTATTACTCTTAGTGCCTGACATACAGTCTCTTTAGCCCTCTTTATCTCTAATTTTTCTTGAAATGTTTGCCAAGAGGAGGTTTTCCAGGCAGCTGGTAATTACTTAAATTTCTCTGGCCTCTTTTTAACGATGTTAACTCATTTTATAATAAGAAAGGTTCTAAAGTTTACCAGCACCAACTTTGGAAAAAAATCTTTTGATTTGAGGAGTTTACCCGAGGACTCTAATAAAACAGAATAGTGCTTACACCATGTAAGGTTATATATAGTGCTAATACTGGATTTATTTAAGGCTTATCTTAAAGCTCTAGCATATGCTTGAGTGGTCCTTGTTATCTGCAATGTATTCATTGGTATAATATATTAAACAAAGTTTTTAAACGGTGGCTCTTCAGCAGGCTTTTTGCCTGTAATTGTCTGCAAGCATGCAGTACTACTACAGTAGGTGGCAGGCACTATCTACAACCAACTCAGTCTAGATTTCATTCAGTAAATTAAATCAAGGACAGTCTGTGACTCCTTTGTGACCTCATTCTGCTGCTTATCTTTGTGGCTAGGAACAGCAGATAAAAGGTATAGAACCGGACAGCACAGTACAAGGGTGTAGCTCTGGTTAACAGGGTGTTAAAGGTCAATATGGGCTAAATAGACTGAATGTGACAGGTGAACTTTTAAAGGGAGGTGGTCTAGTTTGGGTGGGGTTTTTTTGTTTGTTCTAATTATTTTTATTTTGTTTTATAGAGGTTGCTGATATTACCCATGCTTTGTCAAAGCTCACAGAGCCAGCACCAGTTCCAATCCATAAATTATCAGTCTCAAATATGGTTCACAGTGCAAAGAAAAAAATTCGCAAACACAGAGGTGTAGATGAATCACCTTTAAACAATGAAGTTCTGAACACTATTCTTCTGGTAAGTGAGCTCTCCATGCACATTAAATGAATATAAAACATAAATTTGATGCTTCCACTGATGCATTTGGTTTATAGCAGAGTTATAAATCAAAGTGTCTAATGTCAGTTCCATTATTTGAATTCCATTGATCAGCTTCTTGAAGCAGCTTAAGTTCTTACAAGTCTGTGCAGTATAAGTGAACTGAAAATGAGCTCTGAACTCTGCTAACAGTTTTAATTATAGGGATTGCTGGTATGTAACCAGCAGTAACTTTGTGGAGAAAGTGGGAAAAGCAGGAAGAACATACTGATGGAAGTTTGCTGGGTTTTTTTTGTGTCTCCAAGTTCTTATTTCCTGATGCTGCTGACAAACTTGCAGATGGATTTGAAAGCAGAACTAGCACTTCAGCAGGAAACAATCCTCCTCCAGAGAATGAAGATTATGTAAGTGTTACTGACTGACACTCATTGAGAGAGAAAGCAACTTGAGTATTCATACAGATTTTTCTGTGGTTGCCCTATGTCTTGTAACATAAAATTTTTGGAAAAAAGGAACTCACCTTTGTGGAATCTCTAGGTATAAGCAATGATAGTTTTTCCCCCTTCTAATTTTTTTTTTTTTTTTTGGTCTAAAGACTGTAATTTTTAGTAGCTTATACTTACAGGCTTAAAATGTTAGTTAGCTACTTGTGTTGACAAACAGGAAAGAGATCATATGGTTTTGGAAAAAATGCCATTATTCCTGTGTTTCCTGCTTTCTTTTATTTCTTATGTAGAATCTCTTCAGTCAGTTTAAATCTGCTCCTTCTGATAGTCTGACGTACAAGCTAGCTTTATGTCTTTGTATGATAAACTTCTACCATGGAGGAGTAAAAGGAGTAGCACACCTTTGGCAAGAATTTGTGTTAGAAATGCGCTACAGATGGGAGAACAACTACCTTATTCCAGGGTAAGATTGTTGTTGTTGTTGATTTGCCATAGAAAATGTTCTTTGTTTCAGGAGCAGAGTGAGTTCACTATAACTGAAACATACTGGGGTTTTTCTGAATCGCAACTACTGTCCTCTAGGGTAACATACTTTCTTAAAGCAAGAAAGAATAGGGAGTAGGGAAAAGTATCTGTGCCTTCCTTTAAAAACTTCAAGGTGCCTGGAGGAAGCTCAAGGTAAAGAGCACTCCAGTGTGTGAACGGGGGGCTGGGGGGAAAGGCTTACGTGAATGCTTTCTTCCAGTTTATCATTAGATGAAAATGAAGGAGCTGATATAGTCAGAAACACCTTGGCGTTGTAGTGTAGTTTTGCCGCTTCCCTAAGGGAGCTGTTCCAAGTTCCTGCTGGTGTAGTAGCCTTTTTGGGCAGCTGATGCTGTCTCAAGTATTCCAGAGCTTGCTACAGACCAAATGAAAGGTTTTGTCAAGATGAGATATAAATGTAAAGCGAAAGTACATCCTTTTTTTTTTCTTTTTTTTTTTTAATAGGATGGCCATTTATTTGCCAGTTTGCTTTCAAGTGGTGACAATAACAAATAAAACTGAGCTTGAAGTTTATAGAGCTTACTCTACTGTATCATAGCAGCTTTAAAAGTAAAGTTAAGTTCTGTTTGAAAACAGCTACCTTTTTAACATCCAAATGGTAAACTGACCAGGAAATGCAGAGTGTGTCTGTGTCATACTAGTGTGAATGGTCTCTGAGTTTCAGAAATGACCTCTAAGAAATAAATGAAGTTTAACTTCTGGGCTTGTTCAGTCACTAGTTGTCTTGTGAGACCACAGAAGGGCGGTATAGTTGAAACGCTGGGGGTGGGTTCAGTGTGGCTATTTGCCCTGCTTTGGGATTTCATATGATTTAAGACCACGTGTGTGAAAGATTCAACTTTATAATTGATAATGGTTACACTTCTACCTTTTGTTAGATTAGCTAATGGCCCTCCAGATCTGAGATGCTGTTTACTGCATCAGAAACTTCAGGTAAATATCCCAAATTTAAGAATGATTTTTCTTCTAAGGAAACTGTCAAAGTCTTAGCAATTATTACTTAACTATTTTGTTGTTGTAGTTTTAGTTATGCTTGTATTATTGGGTCTGAACTTCCATTTCTTGGGAAAGTCTTTGTTATATCAAGAAGTTCAATGGAATTGTTATCTTTTATAATTGTAAGAGATTTCTGATGACTCTCCAAGTTTTTCTGCGTCATTGTTTCCATGAGAGAAGTAATTGCTGAATAACTTTTTTTTTCCCTTTACCTTGTTAGATGTTAAATTGTTGCATTGAAAGAAAGAAAGCAAGAGATGAGGGGAAAAAGGGGAGTGTGTTTGATCGTTCACCTGGTGGTACTTGTGGTGATACTGGAAGAGGAGCAGACCACTCTGGTGATAACCCTGATAAGGAAAAAGAAGTTGGCAAGTCTTGGGAATCGTGGAGTGACAGTGAAGAGGAATTTTTTGAGTGTTTAAGCGACACAGAAGATCTTAAAGGAAATGGACAGGAAAATGGAAAGAAAGGAGGAGCAAAAGAAGGCAACAAAGAGCCTGTAAACATAAAACCAGAAGGTCGTCTGCATCCACATGGAAAGCTGACGCTGCTGCATCCAGGAGAGCCTCTCTACATTCCAATAACACAGGTTGGGTAGCAAGAGCTGAGCCAGATGTGCAGTACAACTCCTTTGCAATATGGCTTATACCTAGGATTGTGAGTTGTTTGCAGGTTTTAACCTGATCTGTTGTTAAAATTGCTAAGCGTTTTTGGCCTAAGACCTTGTTTTCCATTTTAAAAACTTGATGAGGCTGTTAAATGGAAATCTCACGTGCTCTTTGTTTTATTTGAAAATGGGTCTCCTTACAAAATTTCACTCGCAACAACTTTTTTTAAACAAGAATTTAGCTGTCTTGTCTGCCTTAAATTTGGCTTTCTTTTTATTTCCAGCTCTTGAGGCATCTTCCATCTCCTCTCTACTTACTTTCCTGTAAAGTAGGAACTGCTGTGGTCCTTCTACCATGACAATTTCTATGACTGAATACTTGCTGCTACTTTTTTGTCCGTTTGTTTTAATTTTCTCAACTTGCATCTAAACATACATAGTCATCAGTTTTTGATACCATTATTTAAAGCACGTTTCTCATCAACTAGAAATGTTCTGAACAGAGACTTGTAGAGTGACTAGGGATGAAATAGGAAACAGTGGTGTCAGAGGAAATAGTTTGAAATCAGCCATGCACAAAGAATACAGTATTTTTCATACACTTGAGATAAATAATTTTTAATGAATGTTACTTTGCATGGGTAAAAGGTTTGAGGAGAGTGTAGCCAGGCAAAATATTGTCAATTATGTGCTGACAGTATCAACAGTAAAAATTGTACATTGCTTTATGTGGATTTTCATCTGTCTCAACAAAATAGTGCAAGTCAAACATTTCCTGGACTTCATCTCGATTTTGGCATTTTAACAGTGTATCCTTATATTGTACTTCATTCTCAGGTTGTTTTCTTTTTCATTTCTTTTTGCTAGAGTCTTATTCAGATGCACAGTTTTAGGCTAAGCAGTAGAAATTTATTTTCTTTGAGTACCCATGAAGTAGAATGAACTTTTGGTGACAGGGAGCTTTCCACTCCTCCTCCCTTAATAAGGGCTAAGTCTAGGAGAGGCTATTTGTAAACTTGTCTTTTTTCCACATTACAGGAACCAGCACCCATGACTGAAGATTTGCTGGAAGAACAGTCTGAGGTATTGGCAAAACTAGGGACATCAGCTGAAGGGGCTCATCTTCGGGCACGCATGCAGAGTGCCTGCTTGCTCTCAGATATGGAGTCTTTCAAGGTAGAACTACTGGAAAAATTCTGTGAGACTGCTTTCTTCTTAAACTATCCTTCCTTGTGTTGAACAGTTTTGAAGTTTTCTGATAAGGTTTCTTTTTTCCTCCACAAAACAGTTTCAAAGTAGTTGAAAATAAGAACCTATTGATAAAACTCTTGGAACACTTCAAAATCTATGACTCCCCAGTCTATTACCCTGTAAAATTCCAGTAAATTTGTACAATGAATGTCTGTGGAAGGGGAAAAGACACCAAATGTACAGTTGATAATTTGGGAATTAAAACTCGGACAAGCCCATACAAATTAATGTCAGAAGAAAACTGAACATTGAAGTTCTGAATCAAAATTACATGTGTCTCCTTCCCACCACCCAGTAGGTTTAATTTAGTGTCTCTCACGTGCACTTTCTACTGTGTCTGGCATTCTAAAATGCACCTTTAATCATACTCCAAATTAATAAAATGTAAAGGTGGTGTAAAGTAAAAAAAAAAAAAATCTATTAACACGTTCACTGTTCTGTATTTAGACTGTGAGGAGGTGGACATAATTTTTAGGTATAGTTGAAGATGTTCTTTTCTTCAGTAAGAAGGACAAGTTACCACTATTTAGAAGTCCTGTACAGCTGTTCATCAAATTGGGACTGGACTAACTGTGGTTTTGGGTAATTTGTTCTTTTTCTTTTCTGAGCTCTGCAGAGGGAGCTAAGAGCACATACTCTGCTGTCATCAAAGGATCTCAAAACTAAAAAAATTGGAGATACTGTCATGAAATAGTGTTGTTTTTTTTTTTTAAATTACTTTGTACTAAAAGTATATAGATGTGCTGTAGAGTAAGAGTATTTTAACATATCAGTATTAGTTCATTAACAGTGACTCATGTCAGAGATAGAGATAGATAGATAGATAGATAGATATATATATAGATATAGATATATATATATATATATATATATATATATGAGTTCTATCTCTATGGTGCAAGTGATCTAAAATCTCAGTAAGAATATAGAGCCATAATTTGAAGTAGAAGTTCACTCTTGATAAGTACATCAAATAGAAAGCTGAGTTTCCTTTTATATTCTAGACCTATGGATCTATGTGTTTGTGTTGACATGTCATTTATGAAAAATTAAGTTTTGTTTGGTGGAGATTTATTTTTTTTTAAGTTCACTTTTTCTTCTTCCTTTAAAAATGAGTTTTGTTACTGGAATGTTAAAAGATGGAAGGTCAGTGCTAAAAACATATTTCTGCAACTCAGTAATTCTTTTAGGTGTGGGCTGTTTTTCATCTCTTTAATAATATAATCTTACACATTAAAAAATTAGTGAAAATTCATATTTATTGCAAGTATCAGGTACCAGATAGAAGATTGACTTCAGTATAATTTTGAGTTTGCCTGAAATAACTGATGAATGTACTGTTTGGGGGTGATTAAGAAGGTTTCTTTGCTTTTGTTGATGGTGTGGGTTTCACCCCTTGCCTTGGTTTATGCTTTATTCCTTCACCCTCCCAGGTCTTTTTCCTAGTGTACAGTCTGGTGGCTGAACAGAATTCCCTGAGTTTTGGCTCCTGTGCTCTACTCACAAACCCCTATTGCCTTCCTACCCAGGTTATCATGTTTTTATAGGATTTTTCAGGCACAAACTCTTATCTCCTCTTCATTCCAGGCAGCTAATCCTGGCTGTTGTCTGGAGGATTTTGTGAGGTGGTACTCCCCTCGGGATTACATCGAAGAGGAAGTGGTTGATGAAAAGGGGAATATAGTAATTAAGGGCGAGCTGAGTGCCCGAATGAAGATTCCAAGCAACATGTGGGTGGAGGCCTGGGAGACAGCAAAACCAGTCCCGGCCCGGAGGCAGAAGAGACTTTTCGATGACACTAGAGAAGCAGAGAAGGTAAAAAGCTCTGTGGCTAGTGATAGTCTGATCTGTAACGCTTGTACAAAACTTGCTTCTTTCTCCTGCAAGATTTAAACATTAATACGTCATTGCACCATATTCTTGGAGTTATTAAACTGTTTTGTACGTGGCTTAGGGTTTATCAGAAATTCTTGCTGCTGTACAACAGTGTGCTTGAAATATCTAAAGTAATTAGTGTGTGAAATGTAACTTCATAAGCTGCATTACTTAAGTACTTCTTTGAATTAATCTGCATGAATGTGTTAAGAAACTAGTGTTCCTAAAACATAATTATTTTTAGTTTCATTCTAATCTGTTGGGACTGTAAGCAATCACTGAGGATCAAGGTAAAAACTACCTATTGAGCCCTGTGGTACAACAGTGCTCCCTTCTTGTGAATTCTTCAATGTAAGTGCTCATCTTTTGTAGTTAACCTTACCTTTGGGAAGTAGTTTTGATCAGTAATGTATTAATTTTCTAATGTTGCAGGTGCTTCATTACCTCGCAGTTCAGAAACCAGCTGACCTTGCAAGGCATCTCTTGCCTTGCATTATCCATGCAGCTGTACTCAAGGTAAAGGAAGAAGGTAAATAATGTTTAATAAATTATTTAAGATATTTCAGCTTGAACACTGATGCAATAATTAAAACTTGTTGCTTTTTTTTTCCCTTCTAATAGAAGCAATAGAAGATATATCTTCAGTTAAGAAGATTATTAAGCAGATAATTTCCCATTCCAGTAAAGTTCTAAGGTTCCCCAGTCCAGAGGACAAGAAGTTGGAAGTAAGGCTTTTGTACTGGCTGGGGCTGAAAACCTGATAGGCTTTTAAACTGTTCATGGGAGTGCTAAAAAAAAAATCTTCCTAATTTTCACTTTTATTAAACTCCTCCAGGAAATCATTGCCCAGATCATGAGTGTGGAAGCTATCATCGCCAGGGCCAGGTCTCTGAAAGCAAAATTTGGGGTAGAGAAATGTGAAAATGAGGAGGAGAAAGAAGACCTACAAAGGTGACTGATAATTTTTTTTTTCTCCCCTTGTCCCAGTGTTTTTGGATTTTCCTCTCATGCCCTTTTTTTGTTGTTTCAAAATTTAGGACAGATGGAAGTGGTGGTAATACAGAAATACTAAGAAATTGTATTTAGTAGCTATAAACACTACATATCCCTGTCCTGAGGCTACCTAGAGATGTTATATGTGGCATGCTAAATGTGATACAGGTTATTTTAAGGGAATTTGGTTTTATCTTGACAGTACTGGCGATATTTTAATTTTTTTTTTGGTATGTATGTAAAAGGTACATGTGATGAACTTTGTTACAATAGAGGTAAAATTAGAAGGATGGGGAACTTAGTATTTGCTATAACTAATATGGAAAGAAATATATACCCTCTTCCGCAGATTTACATTTTCTTATTCTAGTCTCCTTACTAATTTGAAACACATTACTGAGGAACCATATGAATGAAAAGCAATGAGCCGTGTTTCATTGCTCCACTATCTGCTGTCAGATTATTTACTTATTGCTTAAGGTGACTAATATGTAATGTTAAAAAAAACACATTAGCTTCTTACTGCTGTGCTGTGAGGGAGAGATGACATTTTTGTAGAACATGCTGGGAGTTCAGGGGAGTGATGTCTGACCAGCACAGTATCTCTGTGCTCAAAAAAGTTGTTGTAGTGTTATTTCTGTGTGGCTGACACCATGAAGGCTTTTTCATGCTAAATTTATGCATCTGCATTAGGAGTCTGGGTTCCATTTATAAGTTAATGGAGAGAAGCCGGTCCTCTCAGAAGCTGAATTGCACCTAGGTGTTAATTGGCCCTGCTGGGTGGCAGCTGTGTAATCCTGCCTTTCCTGATTTCACATGGGAAGCTGCTGGGTTGGGTTTAGTTTTGACCTCTGCTATCTGTGAAAGAACAGCTGCTTGTATTAGCAGGAAAGAAAGCAACAAGGTAGGAGGGAACAAGTGAAGGTTGAGGGAGGTTTAGTCTCTAGGGCAGAGGGAAAGCAGTAAAGGGGTGAAGAGGTGATGATAGTGTTTCAGTGATATCTGAGAAATCTCAAGGGTTTTTGTTTAAACTTTCAAAAGGGAGAACTCCTGAAAGCATCTGCTAGTTCTGGCTCTGTGCAAATGATGCTGTGGAGACTTCCTCACAGGAAACAATTCTGGTTTTAGATTAGCAAACTGGATACAGCTGAGAATTAAACATTCCTTTTTCCTTTTCAATAATTTGTACCACCAGATTCGTAAACTGTCTCCTGGAGCAGCCAGAAGTGTCAGTTCTTGGTGCAGGAAGAGGACCTGCTGGTAGCATTATTCACAAGCTGTTTGTGAGTGCTCAGAGGGTAAGAGAGCTCTTGCTTTGCAGACACTTCTAATTTAAGCAGTATGAAGCAACGACTTGTCATATGATGCCAGTTTATTTTGTCTGCGTATATGCATGTATGTCATAAATGTGCTTGAGGTTTTTTTGTGATGTTTGATGTAGTTTTGGCAATAGCAGAACCTTGCAAGACGAAAGAATAAGTGACCTGGGATGTTAAACAGATAAAGCCAGCTGGGTAGATAGAGGTGTCATTAACGTTTGATTTACTTCAAAATGGTAATATCAGCAATGCTATTATGGCACAAATGTCTGCTTTAGTCAAGTTACACAATATGTGTAACGTCATAGCGAGAACAATCAAGTGTGGTGACGGTTTCATGTAGGAATGTAGAGAAACAGTGTCATGAAAGTAAACATTTTAGGAGTGACTTTTTAGACTGAGGCTTATACTTGGAATACTTGAGATTTCTTCTGTGGAAACTAGCATGCTTAGGAAGTTTCAGTTCATTTCCAGTACAACTCTACATTCAGTTTACTTATTGCCAGTGTTGCATCTGTTTTTCTGGAAACCCTTCCCCAGCCTTTATTGGTATAAATATTCCCTTTTCTCTTAAGCAGTCTTTGTAAGAATTAGCCTTAAAGAAAAAGAATCAGTTTCCAGACTTCTTGGACTGCAGTCAGCCTTCAGTTTCTGTCAGAATTACACCTGTTCATAGCACCACATTATCTAACAAAGATTTAACTACAGTTAGCACGGTATTGCAGATGTTTTAGAGTCTGAAATCCTGTTTGGAAATCATTGCTGTAAAATGGTGTGATTGGGTATTAAACACTTCTAAGGTGTGGATGCTTTTATAATAGTCTGTATTTTGCAACTCGGCATAAAAAGGATCATTCTGAAAACAGACTGTGGTTATTCTGAGAAATGAAAACCAGAACACTTATTTTATCCTTCTAGTCTCTAGGGAAAATCTGGTTGCAGATCCCAGCATGGCAACCAGCCTCACTTACAGACTTCCCTGTAAAGCCTAAGACTCTGCCCTGTGAGGTTTTTAAAGCTGAGTAAGAATTTTTAGCGTTAATGTTTGATAAAGATGTATGTAAACTTCTAGTTTCTCAAATTTCTAGATTTTGTTGCATTTGTAACATGAGTAAGTAAAGCTAGGCTACAGATACTTCCCACAAATAGCTGGTCACTGTTAATTAAGACTTCTTAGTGGGACAGGAGCTGACTTGCTACAAAACCCACTCATGTTTAATCTGCCATGAATTATTTCAGTAGAGAGCTGCTTGGTAAATAGAAGTCGAATGACTTCTTTGCTCATTACCTTCAGAACCTGGACTCCATTCTGACTTGTGTAAAAAGTGTTGTTATATTCTCAAGTTTTCTCAGGAAAATGACAGCAAATGCATGTTCTTGGAAGTAGAGTGCATGATGTCTCTTAAACCTACAATCTCCTTCTAACCTCTTGTAAGTCACCTCTGACTTGCCTTTGTTTCTGTCTTTCATCACTGGTTCTTTTCTCATCCCTTTCCAAGCTGACTGAATCTTCTGATGAGGTAACCAACTTTGTCCCTCGTTTCCCACTCATCTTCCCTAGCTGCATAGAGTTGAACCTTTTGGTAGATATAGTACAGCAGCCTGATTTAGTTTGTACTGTTGTTCACATATAAAATTATTTTTATGCTGAATATGTTTCCAGAATGGTTTTTCCTCATTCACAGACTTTTTACAGCCTAACAGGTAGTGAAAAGAGAAATCTTAAAACAAATATTTCCTCAAATGAATATTAATGTTTTCTCATGCTGAAATATGCAGCCTTTATGTTCTTTTCTGACTTTTTTGTTTATTGGGCAGATGGTTTTCTGGGGGGGAAGTAGCCATGAGCAGTACCTGAACATCACCATCCTAGGTCCCAGTACTTACTGAAACTACTGAGCTTTTTGGTCAGAGATAGAGAGGTTTGGGGAAGAACTGGGGTGACTGTGTGAAGCAGCGTAACACAGGCACCATCCTCTCTGTTGGTTTCCTAGAGCTGTTCTCGTGGTAACCAGTGGCACTTGTCCCTGTGCCTCCTCATGTGGCACGGGCTGCAGAACTGAGTGGGGCTGGGTCCCTGCTCCTGGGGGCTTGTGGGGGAGAGGGGTGGGAGCAGGCATGACCAGCTATGGGGCCATGAGGACTGGGGGGGGGGAGGGCTCTGCCATGCCTCAGGACATTGATAAATTTGAGTAGTGTGCACTTATCACCCTATAGGGTATTGGGGTGTGTATCTCTATAAATATATCTATCCCTATGGAATCAGGCTGTGTGTTTGGGGCTGACTGGAGCATGCCAGCCCTTCTTCTGGTATACAGACTTCGGTGTTGCTGCTTACTGGCCCTGAGGCCGCCAGTGTCGGGGGAGAGGGCATGGCATCACACTTGCTCCACACTCTCATTTCGGCATGCCTCTGGCCAGCCACAAAAAAGCACGTTCAGAAGGAGCGTTTTGAGTTCAAAAAGGCCGGTGGCTTTTTGTCGGGACTCGAGTAGTGGCGCTGGTTATTTTTAAAAGGAGGCTGGCTTGGCCCTGTGCAGCCACAGGGAGGTGCTTGGGAAAGGGGGCATTTTGGCTGGTCAAACCCCTCACACCACAGCGGCAGGAGAGCAGGAGCTTAGGCTGAGCTTCACCACCCACACGTGGAGATTCTTGCATTTGATTGTGCGCAGTTTATTTCTTGACATCCCATTAGTGTCTTGCTCTGTGTACACACAAAGCCTTTTGATGTGTTTGCCATTTCTGATCTTCCTCTGTTCCTCTTAAGATTTTTTCCGAATCCTAATGTTAAGAGCCAGCTTGCCCTGTAATTATCCCTCTGCTCTTATTGAAGGTTTCTGCAGCGCCCCCGCTTGATGAAGAACCGAGGCGACCGGGTTCCTCCGAGGAGCGACGACTCCAGGCAGGGGCTGTTTCTGATTTCCCGCCGCCCACGGGCCGGGAGGTGATTTTGCGCACAAGCGTCCCCCGCCCGGCCCCTTACTCCAAGCCCTTGCCCCAGCGCATGTACAGCGTGCTGACCAGGGAAGACTTTCGACTGGCGGGGGCCTTTTCAGCAGATACAACATTCTTCTGACTGCATTACCGTGTCTTTCACAAGCAGCGTGCTATTGCTTTTCCTCCGGGGAAGGTGATGTTACAGACGGACGGGCCAGGAGGCAGATGTCATCAGAGGGAGTGTTGTGGGCCCAGGGACAGAGCCGAGCCTGGAGGTCTGGAATGGCTTCACCAGTAGATTTCACCAGCTCTCTGGGGAAGAAAGGTTAGCAATCTCCCCGCTGGCCAAAGGCAGCCTTTTTTTTTTTTTTTTTTTTTTTTTTTGCATTAGCTTGTTTAATAATGGACATGAATGGGCTGTATGCAAGTACTTCATGTTGAAATTCATGCAGAATGTGCTGCTTTATGGTTCTTAATCAGACTTTATCAGGTGACATTAGTCTCCATAAATTGATGTGCAAGCATGAAGTAATTTGTATTTATTGCTAATGATAAACATTGAGCCCAGTACTTTTTGGTTAATCACTAAATGGCAAATACTCTTCAAATATAATTATTTAAAGTATACCATACATTTTAGTTCATGCTAAACATGCATTGTCCAAAAATATCTTGTCTTGGACACTTCTTCCTACAGAAATAAATACATGGAGCTCTAACAGGCCAGTAAGCCTGCAGTGGCTGGCTAAGGCTTTGGGTACTTGCTCTCATCCTTCCCTGCAGGCAAGGGACAGAGCTGGCTCTAGGGGACACTTACAGAAGTGTTTCACTGGAAGCAGCTTCCTGGGATTTACAGAGACCCTGTGAATCCATACTGTGTCTTTGCTTCGATGCAATGAAATTCCACCACCTGAACCCCACAGCATATCATGCAAACACTAGGACCTGGATGTGCCAATGTTTTACAGCAATTGTGTCCATTTTAATGAGAATTGGCAAAGTGTTAATTTACAGAATGAAATGTAAAACCAGCTACGGTGTTGCTGACATTAATAAATCTGAACTTAGTCTTGGCTCTCAGACTTCTGTGAGTAGTGGTATGGTTTTGTCAGAATACTTTTTAAATGTCATCCTTGCATCCTGTGACCTAGGAACAGCCTTGTTGTTCTGCCCAAGGTGTAGGGCCCCACGTGTTACCCTAAAACTTCTTTGAGGAGAGCAGGGTTAGGGGCTAGAGTGTTTCCCTCACAGAAAGCTGTATCAGATAGAAATAGTATTCAGGATCAGGAAGAGTTAATTTTCTTCAGAGAAAAATCTTGTCACAGAATTTGTTCTCCAGGCTGTTTGTGTTTTCACCTGAAGATAATTCTTTTGTCATCCATTTTATCAAAGACAAATTAGCTGTTGTTTAACTGTCTAGCTCCTTTAAAAGAAATTGCACTAATTACTGAATAAGTAATCTTTAACTTCTTAAGATTCTTTCTTGGTACTCTTGGTTCCTTCCTCTCTTGCCCTGCTCATGCTGTCTTCATGAAATTTTACAGTAAAGAGGGGCCTCAGGTAAAGACTGTATCAAATTGGAAATCTCTTGCTTTATCAGGCTATTCTTGGTCTTTTAAACTGCTGAAGAGATGATTCCTTTAATCATACTCAGAACACAACATCTAACACTTTTCAGGCGGTTACCTAAAGATGTTGTTGTTACCTGAAAAGTCCAGTTAGTTTCACTTTATAGCAAATGGTGCACTCATGACACTACCTTATTTGAAATCTTTGAGAAAAAGAACATTTAAAACTTCAAGAATTTTCCTCACAAGAATAACCCAGAAAGATTTTCAGCTTATTTTAACTAGCTGTACCTGAAAGTGCAGTCATGTACTTACAGAAAAAGATGTGCAGTGTACAGATGTGGTTTAGGAACTTGGCCCTGCCTTACAGCATTCAAGGGGTGGGGAAGAGATAGATAAAGCCTTAAAAAAAAATCACCAGGAAATTTGAAATAACCCTAAAGAAAGCAACATGAACAGTCCAAAATAACCAGCATCTCTGGAAGCTTGTTAACAAGACCATGATTGTAGCATTTCCCAGAAACTACCTTTGATGAGATAGTTGGTAATGTTTATTGTTTCTTATCATGAATAGTTTTTAGTGCAAGCTGGTTTCAGTAAAAACAGATTTCAATAGACATTAATTCAAAATTTCAAAGTCCTACACATCAGGCGCAGTGCCAAGGGTAGGCCTCGCCCAGCTGATCAGAACTATATAAGACAGTTTCAGAAGAGAGGAATCAATCACTCTTGCTATTTTTGTTGTAATAGATGTCAGAGCCTGTGTCTTCTCCAGCAATTTTGATATGTGAACACAGAAGAGAAAAATTATGATACCTCCTTGGTCCATAATGTCCCCAATACAACCAAACCCTGAAAAACCAGCAGAAATTCCTTGAATTCTTGCAGCTATAACTGCACTAGAATAGGGAAACAGTAATTCTTCAAGACTGCATTAAGGTTACACACAGAAATTTAACTTTAAACCACTAATTTTATATATATAAAAATATAACCATTATCAAGTACCTTGGATGCACTCACCCCCGGCTCTCTGACAGTCAGCATTATAAATGACCTCTTGGTTTTAATTCTGTATTTTTTCCCCTCTACCAACAGCATCATAGACTACAAAGATATTTTTCTTAAATCAGTGCATGGGGAAAACTACGTAACTACACTAGCTTTTGATTTATAATATAACTGAATGTATTTTGTATTTTACATCTTCACAAAAAATCTTGTGATATCACAGCCATACTTTGTAGCTAAAGAATGTCTCTTCATCTGGCTTCTCTCCTTGGCCTGTTTTGCAGTTCTCTGCAAAAGAGAAAGACAGGTCTGTTCAGTCAGTATTGTTACTTGGCAACAGCGTGCTGGATGGAAAGCAAGAGCCTGTGGTTAAATTTCAGTCTTATTTTGCAGTAGACATTATCATGAAATGTAATTGTTTATTAAAGTGACATTTTCCCAAATCCTCATGAAACTGTTGTATTGTAACAGTTTAACACTACCTGTCCATCCCTGCTGTGTGGGAGGGAGAGGCTGGGAGCACAGGGCTTGGGCAGGAGGTAGGGCCCTGCCTGCAGCATTCCCCACAGACATGGGCACAGGAGGAGGTTTCACCTGAGGGTGGGTGCTGAGCAACCTGCTCTGAGCCCCAGGTCAGGCTACATGTTACCTCCAGAGGCCTCCCCTTCCCCACATAGTGCTGAGAGGGTAAATACAGCCCTCATGTGTGTTCCACATCCTCGCCCGTGAGGATTCCTGAGGGCACCACACTGACCTCTCTGTGGCAGACTGTACACAGCGTCTGAAGGTTTTCCAGGGAGCACTGTCCTCCTCCACTGTAAACAGGCTTGATGTGGTCGACCTGCCAGAACTGGCCTTCTGTCGGGTTTGTTATAATTTCATTCAACTGCAGGAAACAAAGGACAAGGCATTGGAAGCATTAGATATTCCTTCTGAACTACAGGTATGTTCTGTTGTAAGAACCAGACAATAATTCAGGGAAGTAGCTATTTATAGTTTTAATCGAGAGAAAAAGTAAGCCTTAGCATTTTTTTGTTACTCCCAGAGGACAAGGAAACAACTGTGATTTTAGCTGGAGTATTTTCAGCTAGCCTGCAGCGTTCTGAAGCATATCGCAGTGGATCAAGGAAAGACAGAACAGAAGGTTCAGTTTCCTCAACTGATACAGTAAGTTATCTTCAATGCCATTTTAATCATCAAGTACTGATACTATATATATGCAAATAAGAAGAACGCAACAGCTATAATCCCAGCACAAAAAGACCCCCAAGTCCACAAGACTTCTCAGTCTTTTAGATGTGCACCACCTCATTTTAAAATGCTGCAAGCAGCAAAGCTGATCTCATGCATGTGACAAGTGACAGTAAAAGACTTGTTTTGCAGAATTTAAACAATTTAGAAGCAGTAACTTCTGAAGCAGAATTTCAACTTCTCAGCAGAAAATGAAATAGCATTTTAGTTTCTGAATAGAAATGCCACTTTACATAGGAACACTCCCTCCCTGCTCCACTGCCTTCAAGTCAGTGATGCAGCCATCACAACAATGGTAGTTTGTAATGCATTTTGAGGTGATACTGGGAGAAGCTGTGACAGCTGGGTTTTGTTAAGCTCCCACCAAACATTCTGCAAAGTAGGAATAACCTAACACTACTACACTGCATCCATTCTCATTTCATAACCATCAAGTTTGTTAACAGTGCATTTCAGGTAATCTGGCTGTAATATTCACATCCCTAAAGAATCTGAATTCTGATGCCTGTGCCTTTCAGCAAGGAAATGTGTTAGAAGACATTGGAGTTTTCTGCATTTCAGATTTTGTTTTTTGTTATTCCATTATTGGTGCCAGGTTAGCCTTCATTCTTCAACCTGTAAGAACAACATTTTGGATATCTCTAAACTATCTGCTACAGGAATAGACAGATTAGCTGTTACTGCTTAAAACTCAGTACTAGTACCTGCCCAAGTGGAAGGTGAGACATCCAAGAACTCTCCAGAAGTTTCTTACGCTGACTCTTGGGCGCATCTCTGATGCTGAGATAAAGCTCCTGGGCATTTTGATTACAAAACTGACAAACACCGTGTTCAATTTCAAACACTTTAGTCCTAAGGTAGCTCTGACTAGAGCGAATTGAGAAGTCCTCCTGGCAGGCATGAGAGCAGAATCGTGTGTCCCAAGCATGTGCCTGGCAGCCTGGCTCAAGCTGAGGGGTGGGCTGCTGGCAGCAGAGGCAGAGAGGGTTCCCTTGGCTGTCTAAGGCTTGCAAATAGCCTCTGGGTTGGGAGGAGCCTTCAGCTTCCCCCTGCTCCCAGTGGAGAACTGATGGGCCTTTTCCATTTTCTGAAAGCAACCTGTTTGCACAGAACAAAGTACAGCTGTTAATCAAGAAGGTATTCAGCAACACAATTCAGCAGGTTTTTATGCACTGTATATTTCCATTAGATATCCTTTATGCCCTGAAATACCAATTTTAGTTTAAATATCTTGCTCAGATCGATACCTGCACAGTGCATAACATCTACTTAGTTTACACTTCCATTTAAACAAAATTTGACATATAATAGATTTTTATTTTTGCACATCTTACCACATTTACACATGTACACTGAATTATTAGCTGAAATAATGCTGTATTTATAAAGAAATGATGGTTTCTATCAGGCATATACACATATAAACGTAAAATGTTTCAGCTCCTTCTTTCAACAGAAGTAAAAAAAGTCAAAGGAAAGATCCTGGTTTTTCTGCCCAAGCTTCATGGCTACCTATCAATTTCCTGTTCTAAACAAGGCTCATCTCCAGGCAAGATACACACTGCTTTTTAATAACATTTTTAAGTGGGTATTTTCATGTTCTTTTCTCTCTTGTTCTAAATTTTGAGGCAAAATAGAATAAAATTTGGTGTCCCCAATTTGCTGTTGACCTCAAAAAGCAGACCTGAGTAAACATTCTTTTTTCCTTAACTGAATTGTGTAACTATTTTCTTGTTTTGTTTTAATCAGTTAATCAGCAGCTGTATCAGCAGACAACTGATGTAATCTAAATTGTTATCAAACATAGCTCATCAGCACTACAAGTTTCTTAGCTAAATGGTGTACATCAGCAAAGTAAACACTCGTAGCAAATATTTTTGCTACTTTAAAAAAAAAAAAAAATCTGTGGAGAAAGAGCTTAATCACCTTACTATATTAAAAAACTTACTTTGTGGAATGACCCGATTGTTCAATAGAAGCATTTTCATTCTTTAGACAAACTCTACTTTCTTTTGAGATGAGGCGAACGCTGCCCCCACTGCGGCTAGCTTTGCTAAGAGAAGCTGCTGCTACATCCTCCTTGGTAATATACCTAAAACAATAAAAAATTTTGTCAATACACTACAAAGGGGACAATCTCCCTCAAAGAATAATCACACTTAGCTGCAGCAAGATTGGTACAGCAAGACCCTTAAAACAGTCCTCGTTTCCTGGGTGAGAGATGAATAAGATTTTTTTTTCTAAAACAGATTCAGCTCGAACCAGCAAACTGATAAGTTGTTTTGTATTTAACAATTAAAAAATGAAGCAATACAATATCACTTGACAGTGAAATCCGAAAGTCATTTTGTTTCATTTCTGTGAAGTCTCACTGACATTCTAGATAATCCAGGAAGCTTTACAAGCTCTGGAGGACTCCTTGCTGTTAGTTATATTTGAACTCCCTTCTTCATTTCAATGTGAAAACATACAAAACACCACTGCTCTTAAGTAAAACTAAAAATTGCTTCACACTGATCATTATTCCAAAAATCAGCATTTAGACAGCTTCTCATAAGTACATCTCTCTGTACTATACCAAAACCTATACACTACCCTAGAAAACTTACCATAACCTACAGCAGCCTTCTAACACAGTTCAGGGTTAGATCTTTCCTATATTTTATGGAAGGACACAATCAGGCAACAGGTTAAGAAACACTACCTGCTGCTTTTCCTTATATTACTGGAATTACAAACTCTCTGTATTTACTTGAATTCTTCCCTGCAGCCAGAGGCACCCTGGAGAATTTAACAGTAGGGACTGAGAGGAATAAAAAGGTTTTCGATAGCTTGCTGAGGCACTTGTGAGTTAAGCTGCATGCATGAGAAGTTTTATGGAGAGCAATGACAACACAGAAGCTGCAAATATTTGTCAGGGAAGACAGCATATCAGAAAAAGGAAAGAAGGTGGAAAAAAGGTGAATTTAGATTTTAACAAGGATTAAACACTAGCCCTTTTTCAGTGACACCCAGCAAGGAAAACAAGTTTTGAGAAAAGTCATCCA